GGCGCTAATTGATTAGAACAGCTTCACACTAACTTGTACAATGTCAGAGCTTCTTTATGAAGGAAAGTTATCGAACTTAGAACTTCCTCATAAAGTTTACAAAACCATATAACACTATGTGAAAGATAGTTATTAAAATTCAGAACTTCTTCACAGAGCCTTAATCAAATGTTAAACTAACTTTATGATGGAGAGTTATCAGGATATCAAGATTAGAACTTCCTCATAAAGTTTAGAAAATTAATTAGAAATCCAATCAGTGAAATAAACTGTGAATAGAACAACAGTTAGAACATGGTATATTCACTTTATTAGAATACCAGAGTTCTAAAGTTCAAAATAGATAAGACTTATTACCATTTTAGAACACCTGAATCATTAACAATTTTAGCGTTTCTAAAAATTAAACAAAAGTGTTCTAAAAACAGTATCAAGCAAACTTCAGAAATAAAAGATCAACACAGAGAATTACGGTGGTTCGGCACTAATTCGCCTACATCCACTCCCCAAGACACATCTTGAGATCCTCAACTATGTTATCTCTTTTAAAGGGTAAGAGACAAAAACAGTACAAGGCAAGTAGATCAACCACTAGATTCTACCCTTTTTCCCACATAGATTTTCAAAGTTCTAGCTAACCTCAACCCTTTTTTTTTGGCAGATACAGAAAACTCAATTCAAGACATAATATCGCCACACAGGAGCTAGGTCGCTTGAAAACCTCATCTCAATAGCTTCTAACCAAGCTATTTCCACAAAAGATGTACACAAATAAAAGCATGTACTTACTTAATACAGACTCAAAATAACAGAAAGGGACCCTAAAGCACAGGAAACTTTGATCAGTTTAGACAGATCCGATAGTGAACACAAACGCTTTTCAAAGTTAATATGTAAAAAATCTTTCCTTTAATAACTTGAACGTTAATTAAGAGAGCTAAGTTTGAGAGATAAAGATTTGATCAATGAGAAAATGCTCTTAAACAAAAACTCTTACTTCAGCCAATGTTACAACGTGAAAGCTCCATATATATAGCTAAGAAGTGTCGCCTTGGAAAGAATTTTACTTTGAAATCAGGAACATCTTCTTTCCTTATTTAGAAGATTATGAATAATCTTGTTTAACAAAATTACCAAAAGTTTATTTTATCCTTTTTGGTAAGAGAATAAAACACGATTTTGCTTTCCTTTAAACAAGAGATTTTCGGCAGCAATATTTGGAAAGATATTTTTGCGGAAGAATGTTCTTACTAAAAACGAAAAATATTCTCCTTCGTTTTTAAGGTAAGAAAATAAATTTAAGTATTTTAGATCTTTGAAAAGATGTTTTCAAAAAGAGTATGATTGTATTACCAAAAACATTTCGAGAAGAAATCTCTTAAGTTTTAGGAAAATAAACCTTTTCGATTTAACGGAATATTTTTGAAAATAAATTATTTGAAGAAAACTAATTTTCCAAAAAATATTTTTGAGAGAGAAATGGATTTTTATGCTCATATATGGATTTTCTCTCTATCCTACAAAATATCCTAAATACCTAGCTTACTAGGATCTTCGAAATCTTCACACTCAATGTAGCAATGTTAGGATTTGCTCTTTGTACGAATTCTTTCCATCACACATTCGCATATAAAATATAGCACAAAGTAGTATAATTTAATTTATTTGTTTATATTACATCATCAAATCCGAGATTCAGATAATGACCCTTGACCAAAAAAGCTAATATCGGCATCGGTCTCAACGCATTACACAATTTTACTGGCTCAGATTCCACGCTTCTGCAGCCAGTGCAGGCCACAGCCCTTGAGCACAGTGCCGAGGATTTGCGCAATTACGGCTCATGTTATGTGTAGCGAGGACACTTGCAAACACTCTAGAGTGGCATGTCATGCGGCTATGTCCAGTTTAGCCCGGATCCCTGCGCCTGCTACAGATCGAAATGTTTCGACATCTCAACAGCAGCCACTACCATCTCCTGATCCCGATGCTGCAAACGATACCTTGGTCACCCCTGCCGACACTGCAGCACATCCAGCAGGTACTCCTCCCGGCGATTCGACATGGGATCGTGCAGATGACCAATTGCGTAGATTTGATTTTGGACCATTTTAGCTTTCCAGCGGTTTTTCGAAATTTTGTTCAATACATTAACTACATGAATAATTACATTTTTATATTGTTTTTGAATTGCGTTTATGATATATATATATGCCCATTTTCGCAGGTGCAAAAAATTTATGGTTTTATAATAATATTTAATTTTTTTAATTGTATTTTGCGACAGATTTGCGACCAAACTGGAACCAAAAATATAAACTTTAAATTTAAAATTTGCGACCGATTTACGACCATATTTCATAATTACGACAGACTGTTTTTGCAACCAATTTGCGACAGCTTTTCAAAAGGAAAAAACGACCAAATTTTGTGATTGATTTTTTAAATCGGTTGCTAATTTGCGACCGATTACTTCATCGGTCGCAAAATATTTTGCGATGAGCACTTTTGCGACAGATGGTTATCTGTCACAAATCGGTCGCTAAGTTTGATTAGCGACAGATTTCTTGCGTTTTGCGACCGATTTGCCGGTCGCAAAATGGCATTTTTTTTGTAGTGAACATAATTTCTTTTAATGCATTAGCATAATATATATGATATAAAATATATGGATCTAGCCTTAGTTTTAAAATAAAAAGAGAATAAATAGAGAGAAAAGAAGTAGTAACATAAAAGAGTAAATTTAACCTTGAAAGCTTAGATTTTCTTGAAATAAATTATATTAGCTTATAGGCCATGAGGATAGGAATAACATATTCAAATATGGTGAGGAGTAGTTGAGTCTAGAGAGGGGATTTAGGCATTAGAGTATTAGGGTAAGGGTTAATATTGCATGAGAGAAAGAAGAAAGAAAGAGAAAAGAAGAAAGAGAAAAGAGAAATATGAAAAGAAATAAAGAATAAAAAGTTGGCGTGTAGAGAATAGTGGATTTGATAGATGGGAATCTCTAACTTCATATGCTTGGAACATGTAAGCATGTGGCGCAATCACATGCTTTATGGTGCACCA